TCAAGAAACAAATTCTGCAAAAGATGGACGTATTTTCGACGAGATAGAACCGTATTTTAGTGAAATTTCTGGGCAGAAGCTAGTTTAATATGGAGTTAGGAAATGCTTCTGATCTTTCTTATTAGCTGAGTATTCTTCGAAGGTTATATAGACAGTTGAGCCTTCAACAGTTAAGCCTACACATTTGGGCTCTGAACGTCTGAGTCTTCTAATATTTGAGCTTTGGACAGTTGAGCCTCTTCACTTTTGATCCTCCTGCAGTTAACTCTTGTCAAGCGAGTAACACTTCTATGTGAACTTATTTGAAACCGTTGGGATAAGTATTCTTGAAGTAATTATAGGTGCGGGTATGCAGGTATTATTAAGACCTGGAGTAGGGATGTGCCGAGACCGAGGCTGAACCGAGACTCTCGATCTCCTTCATCCTCCGCTGAGACTGGTCGAGGCTGAGACTAACCTAGATCGAGACAGAGATCAACCAAGACCGAGCCTCTTGGTCTCGATACATCCCTAGCATGCGGATGCGAGTAGTTGTCGGTGGACGTTAGTGTGAAGAGAGCGAGTGGCAGAAACAACAACATCCACATCTACAACCCTACTCACCAGTGTTTTATCCACGGGGCACGCAAGGAGGCGGCGCTCTCACGAAAATCGAGTTCGTTCCCCGAGACTCGTGCTCATCGCGGGACGAACTATATGCTTGCCCTGCTGAAAAATTTTTCGTTTCCCCGAAATTACAAATTGATTCTCCGGAGAAAAAACTTAGATAAAACACTACTACTCACACCCACAGTTCACATTCGCACCAACATCCTACATCCGTAGTCCACATTCATATCGACATTCACACCACACGACCGTTTACATCCCACACCCTAGTTGTAATAAGTACTTCATTTAGTTAATGGTTTGGCTTAAAATGTGAAGAGATTCAAAAGGCAACAGCCTCGACCGTCAAGACGCTGAAATGTCTAGGGCTCTAATGTGCAGACTCAACTGTTGGCGCTCAAATCTCGGAGGCTCAACTGTCGTGTCACTTTCTAAAAATAAATGAGATATTTGTATTCTGGGCACTTGGTGCTATTGAATTATAAAGACTTGTAATTGGACAGCCAGCAAATTTTTTTTTCGATACCTAAGGGGAACCTCAAATATCAAAACTTGAGTTATGATCATGTAGAATAGAGAATTATGAAGAACATTCAGAGTTCGATGCTGACTTTCAAAGTAATAAAATCAGGTTTAACTTTTCAGGGCCTCCGATCGGTAATTCGATGCAACTTTTGACGTATTAACGTGTGATTAATGTGTGATAATAAACTAATAAATGAATGAGCATCAACTACATGCTTTACTTTATCTTATTTTACTATATCTTGCTTGTTCGATTAAGTTAGAGATATATCACTTTATTTTACTTTTCGGATAAAGTAGATCTAGTCTACTGTACTTTACTTTAACAAAGTGAAATAAAGATAAAGTACCACCCATACACGTAACGTTCTCTTCTTCAAGATTGATGTGAAAAATAGCAGCTGTCATCAAAGTGACGCATATTGTGCGCGCTGTTAACATTAGTAAAATTTGCACTTACATCCCTAATCCTTCTCTCGGGCCTTCACGTTTTTATTACTTTTCTCTATTTAAAATAACCATTTTCTTTACATTTCCTGCTGAGTAAGAACACTAAAACTCAACTTGTCATAGTTTTAAACAAAAGATGAGTTCAAAACTTTTCGTTTTCACATTTTTTACACTATGTATCTTGAGCATAACAATTCAAGGTCAAACTCATTCAACTCTACATGCACATGAAACAAGTCATCATCCACATGCTACAACTACTCGACCAAGTGATCATCAAACCAGCACTACTCCTCATCATCCACAATATTCTACAACAGCAAGATTCTATCCTCAATTTTGTCATTGTAATTGCTGTGCAGGTTATCAGTGTACACCATTTCTACAAGGAATAGTTGATTATAGTCAATCAGGATCCTATTGTACTGACAGGAATTGTCGATTACAATGCGCTCTAAGATATCCAAAAAGTTGCAGTACAAATATCCCATATGGAACGACCAATATATACTGTGACTATTGATCCTGACAACAACGAAATGCCATTTCTCTATGTTTTACCACTACTATTAATGCTTTTTTTCATGATGAAAATGTAATGTGTGTGCTTTGAATTACTTGAAATAAAATATATGAAACATTCCATTCATTAATTAACCTCAACAAATGATCGACTGACGTGATTACGATATTCTCATTCAACTGGTTATTTATTAATTCTAACAGAAGCTGTCTTGCCTTGTTTTAATTGTAATTTTTCTTTGTTAATTCGAACACATTGTTTAGCTTTTTCTAACGCTTCATCTCTCGTATGTGCACTAATACAATAGTGATCATCTGCTTGATCTGGTGTTGTTTTAAACTCATCTGATGTAATAAAATACGAAAGAATACGGTGACCCCACCAAAGTTGACGACTAATACATCAATCACGAAAAACTTCAAGCCAACGGCACTATATTTGCTCGAATTGAGTGGGAAGAATTTGCAATTCTGAAACGAAAAATATAAACATTCATATCAGAATACTTTTTTGAAGAACTAAATTAAAATATTCTTACGTTTGAAAGTACCTGGAGTAAACAACATTTTTTTGGAATTTGTCTTAAAAAACAAGTCAATTCTATTAGCAAAGCTGAGAAATTCTTTTGAAATACTATATAGTTAATAGGGTGAATTCATTAACTTCTGAGTTCTTTGGTGTATTTTAGCATCAAATAAAAAGCTTCAAGATAATAAAAATTAGTGATCAGAATAATGGTGGAGTCTGCTATCAACTACAGATCAAACAATAAACCAAACAGGAGGCACAGAACAGTGAAAGAAATGATCAAATGTTTCTGCAATACAGGTGTTTCGAGGTGAAATCATTGTGATCGAGATTTTTAAAAAATCCCGATTGCAACTTCTCATTAACGCAGCAATGTGCAAAAAATAGAACAACAAATTTGAACAATCAACGGTGGCGTGCTATTTTTAGTAATTTTTTTGGCTGAGCATAGTTTACACTTCTAGAAATAATTCTAAAAAAATAAAATAAAAATTGTCGAAATTATTTTTAATTTTGGGTATGAGTGTGGATATCGATGTACGTGAACGGAAGATCCAGATCTAAAGCCACAAGGATACTCACACCCCACACCCATCACAGCCACAGCCACACCCACACATTTCGCCATCGAAAACAACAGATGTCAAAGCCTTTCCCAAAGTTCCTTAGCAATGGAAAAAAGGCATTGAACAGCATTAATGACAAAGGTTAGACTGTTCTAGAATTTTCTAGAACACTTTTTGATTTTTGCGCAGGTAAAACTATATACTTAAGACGTCAAAGATAATGAATAGTGATGTGTTGATATACCACAATTGTCATATGGTTAATATAAAAAGCGCGAATTGATCCACTTATAACTTTAGGAAATGATTAATACTAGTGTTTGTGAGCTTATCGAGATATGCATAATAGTGTATTGAGATCTATTGTAGATATTATAATGAATATGTACAACAGGCTTATTTGTCAGTTTAATAAATGGTTAGAATAATAATAATACTAAATTAAGGAAAACAGAATTCGAGAAAGAAAAATAATGTGCGAATTGAAATAAGATAAACAAAAAAATAGAAGATGAGTAAAAGATAGAAAAAAACTCTGTTTGCAATGCAGAAATAAATAAGACGGATCACTGTTCTGGCGATCTATTATCTTGTAAAACACCTATAGTTTACTGGAGATTTTTCACTTTACGTATCTTATATTAGTATAAGGAGACTAAAGTACACGTATGACTTTCACACTTCGTCCCCAAAAGGATCACGCTAATAAGTTTTTTTTATTGTTTACGCCATTTATTATTTTTAACTGGTTAATTTAAATAGGCTGATTGTCATAAATATCATTCTGCTCTTGATTCTTTACAACAACTCTCTTACTGTTAAGCGTATTTGTTTTAATACATTTAAGACTACCAATCGTTATTATAAACATGAATGATTTATAAGACTGATTTAACTACTTTAAACATAATATTTTTAGTCTTTATTCGTGACTATTTTGAGTTAATCAATCTATAATTTTTTGAAACCATTTTTGTTGCTGATCATAAGGTTTTTACTGACAAAAATTCATTTTACTTCATGAATCTGTCGCTACAGGTCTGGTTTTTTTCATTTTTTGATGAGTATGTTCCATCCGACTAATTAACAGGAAGCGTTTATGTTAAAAAATTTATTCACGAAATCGAGAATATTCATTTCTAAAAAAAAGCCATATGACTTATAATATTTAATACATACTCTATGTAATGAAGAATAATTGTTTTTGAAAATTCAATTGGTGAGACAGATAACTCTATGTGTGAAATTGCTAAGATTAACTTCGTTTGTAAAAAACTTTTCGTTGTTCCAGATTTTAGTTTCTTACAATCAAATCACACACATAGATTTGTTTGAAACTTCATTACATAGCCACGGAAAATTTACTATGTCGAAGGATCTTATTTCAAATAATCTCTTTCAATTTCATAGAAACGAATATGTTGACGCTTCTGCGATGATTTACTTATTGATTGATTCTTGCATAAATATCCATTATATATTATGCATAAATCTCAATGAGCTATACTATTCAAATATAGATTTTAAAAGCAAGAACAATCACAGAATCGATGAAGAACGATGCTTTGTCTTTTATTCATATGCGAATGCTATACGTCATTGACATATAGAATGTTGTGTTCTATTGTGTGACAGAATGAGTCGACGACGAGATATAACGTTGAAATCAGCTTTTTTTCTTGTTCGTTCTCTTGTCTTATGTCAATCAAATATCTGATTCTTATCTTTTGTTATATGACTCGCCCGTGTAAAATGATCTGCTATAAACTATAGTATATAATCGTAAAGAAATACCGAGCATGTATTTACTGGTTATATTATTGTTAATAAACTATGCTCAAACTCAACAAGATATTTGTTCATGTTCTTGTTGTATTGGTGAATTCTGTAGTCCAACTGTCCTTGGTACTTTTGATATACGATCATGTACGATCGAGGCATGCCGTCTACAATGTCGCACTTCTTTTGCTCAATGTCAAGCAGATTATCCTAATGGTCAAGTTTTACCACAATGTTTATCGTATGTTAGTCCCTCATACAATTGTCGATGTGATTGTTGTAATACGGGTTCTACTACTTGTATCCCCATTTTTGTTGGTTATAGTACTGCATATGTATGCCAATCAAGTGCCTGCAGTATTTCATGTACGACACAGTATCCAAGTCAATGTGTATCAAATCAGAATGGACAAACAATTGGTACGTGTACTGGTCCTATTACAACAACAGCAACAACGATATCGACAACGACAGTTAGTAGATCAACTAATAGCCTTTGGATAGGTCATACTTGTTCATGCATGTGCTGTCAATCGGGTCCTAATTGTTCACCAAATATTGAAGTAGGCATTACTACAACATCACAATGTTCATCATTGGCTTGTACAACAGCATGTCAAAATCAATATCCATCAGTCTGTCCATTGGTACTCAATCTGGGTCAAACTAATGGTACATGTATAAGTCAAAGTAGTGGAAATACACGTTGTCAATGCCAGTGTTGTGGAACGAATGGATGTCCAACTTATGAGATTAATACAAATGGAGATTGTACATCATGTTATACATTATGTCAACGACAATCACTTTGCGGTAATACGAATACTGTAACATACAGTTGCACTACAAATAAATCAAAAATATCAGTAGAAATTTCTCTTTCATTGATTATTTTTATATCCATAATTGTTTTACAATAAAAGTGCTTTTTAAATTACTAATACACTTATAATTATTGTAATATTTAACTTGTAAATTATCGATTTCTTCGCATATCCCATTGATAAATATAATTAAGTCAACTAGAAAATAACTTTTATCTGAAGTAGGTTACAAAAGTGTGAAATCTTAAACACTAACAATATTTATACAAAGAAAATGGTGTTCAATAGAAAGATGTTTGCAAATTTCTTTGACACAAACGAATTGAATAAGGTATTAGCCCATGTTGTATCTCTCAATTTTGTTCCCAATAAGAAAGTACATACATATAAAAACTAATCTTCCATTAAATCGATCTGTTGAGTTTTTTTGTCAGAACATTAATGTTTTCATTTATATTCTTTAGTACACATATATGATTAGTATATTCGATTGACTCATATAAAACCATAGACGCACTATAAAATGAAGCACGAATTCTCTGTTCATAGATATATGAAAAAAAACATAGTTTTGATAACGCTTATATTTTATAGATGAGTGATCTATATTTCATATATGTTGTTGAAATGTGAGTGACGAACAAAAGTCACAGGATAGAATCATTTTTGACAGATGTTTCAAAAATGTATTCCATCATAATGATTTATCGATCAAAATCAGAATTCTACAAATGTATTTGACGACTTTATTTACGAGAGCAGTGGCTGATAGAATACCATTGAATAGTTGATGATGCAGCTACACCTGGTAAACATTCAAAAGATATTCATTGATATTAAATGTATTTTATATACGATATTACGAAAATTAAGTGCACAGCTCGAAATCTATAAATTTGGCAAGTGTGCTCATGTGAAAAATTATTTTCAGAACGTTGATTTTTCATACATAAAAAAAAAATATATGGATTTAGTGCCATCTATGATGGAACTCGAGCTGTTGTTTAAGATAATAAATTGTATGTAGGAGAAATCGAAATAATCTATATTTTGTTTAAAAAAACTCGGTTTTCACTGATGAACAAGTATCAGAAGTTTATGCATTTTCGAATGAAGAAAAAACTTGGTCAGAAACGACCTATAATCATTTTTATAACAAAGTTTTGCTGATATTTTGAATGCATTTTATAAAGTTATTATTCATCATAAAATCAACAGTACATACGAATATTTTATATTCTTTTTATAAATGTGTTTAGTTTTTTTTGAAATACTTAGTAAGATAAATAAAACTTTTCTATTCAAGAATGTCTAAAAATGTGAAATTGTCTTTCATAAAGTACTTATAATGATTGATAATCAGTTCTAGTGCACAAAGATAATAGTTGTTTTGTCCAATGCCACTAATACAAAAGAAAAATAAAATTAGTCAACATTATGAATGTACACCGATCGGTGAATTCGATTCTGCAGCCGAGTTTTATTTTTTTGAACATTTTTAGCGAAGAAAAATAATAGATTCTGTAGCATTAGAATGATGCGTGATCAATAGAGTCATTAGCATCGATAAAGGTACTTGGTATCAGCTGTTTTTTCTTCGTTAATTCTGTTAGAACATTTCGAATTGCTCTTTGTTATCGTTGGAATGATGCAGAATATAGTTCCATCTAATCATAGTAGCCAATATTAGGGTTTGGAAGCTACTTTTACGTTACCAGTTATTGAGTGTAATAGGTGTGAAAACGAAAAATTTCTAAGTTTATCAACGAAAGGCTACCTTTCAACAATAGCAATACTTTAGTAAGTTGGATCAAAGCTTGTCGACATGAAAACACCTGTGTTTCCATCTTATTTCTTTAATCAGACAAATTCCAAGAATGTTTTTCTTGACAATTGTATAGGCAAAACATGATACTATTCGAAGCATATGAAAGATGACCCTTCCTAGCCTTTTAATTGACCAGAATAATGCTATATTTTGTCGTTACAATAGTCGAAAAGACCTTTGCTAAAATCTGATTGACTAAGAGAAAACTTTTCTAAGCTAATCATATCTCAGCACGGGTTTTCTGTTATTTCCTCAGCACTCAGCATGACACTGTAAGATAAGGGGAAAAAGTTCACGGAATTTTTTCTATCGATATAAATAGGAAAATTTCTCAAAAATTCTCCTATTTATATCGATAGAAAGAATTCTGGGAACTTTTTTCCTTTAGTTTAGATTTTAATCTCGCCAACTTTGCTATGATGCAAAAAACCTATTCGAAAAACAACATCAACAGTTTTGTAGAAAATTAAATTCTCTATTTACTGGCTGAAAATCAAAATTTAAAATAATTGTTAAATGTTTCAAAGATAGAGAATAAACTTGAGACATTTACTATGGAACATCCTTTATTATTCTGTCTTAGGGAACAATTTTACGATTTTCCAAATGAATATATAATTCAATTTTACAGTGAGGAAAATTTTTCAATTTAGCAGTTATCAATTGCTCTTTCATCACTCTTTCTTCCTTCTTTTTTATTTACAGTCCGAACATCCAAAACAAATATTAAGTACACACAAAAACAAAAAAAACATCCATCGAAAAAAAGTACATTGTATTTATCTGTTCGAAACATTCTTTTCTGTCTCGTGTTATTGCATGCTGATGATGTTTTTTTCTCATAGAGAGCGATGAATCGAAGAGACAATGAATGGAAAGAAAAGAGAGAAAAGAAAAAAGAAAAAATTTTCACAGGACATAAGAAAAGACAAAACAGAACAATACTAAGCATGTATCATGAATATCAGTCACGACATTGACAGATTTTGCACCTCCGATTCCAAGTTACTGATAATGAGTACGAGGTGGGAAAATGAAATTCTAGCCATTTTTACTAACGTGATGTGAATTACCCCAACTGGGATAATTCGGATTACTTTGACAGGGTATTCAGCATATTTGTAAAATTCATTGACAATATCGACTTTTTTTTTAAAGATTTTTAGGTAACTCGATAGAGAATACTTGGAACCATTTGTGGATTAAAAAAAATCTTTCTTTCTGATAAAAAAATGACTGAAAAATAATCAAACCACACTCATTTTACTTTTGGATGATCCAAATTACTCGAATTGACTATAAATAACATGAAACGCGTCATCGAAATAACTTCGCATCGTTCTTCAATCATTCTTATAAGAAAATTACTTAAAAAAATAATTTTATTTCCGACAAGTCGATTGCTACAGAGCACAAGTGGAGACTACAACATCAATTTGTATCCTTCATGTACAGATCAGTTTGTTTTTCTGTTGGTTCAAAGATCTTGTTGTCTGGTTATTGGTATGTATGTGAGTGACGGTAAGAAATCGAAAGAGATAGCAAAAAATGAACAACTATCCATCTTGTCTCTCTTTATTCTTGTTTTGATAAGAAGGCTGAATTGATATTTGACATGACTTAATTCTCTTCTTTCTATTTAATTTGAATTTGATATTAATAATTTATTAAAATTCGTGACGTTTTTTATCTCAACAAGATACTGCTTCAGACATCAGATTTAGAAAAAACAACATAAAAGTATATAAAATAAGGACAAACAAACAAAGAAATAATTATCTTTTTCTTTCCTTTCGTATTAGTCATTCTTTTGATAGTGATACGAGAAACAAGACGGTAATAATAATCGCTAGACAGGGATTGAATCCTTTTTCGTATCATTATCTTCGTTTTGTTTTTTGTTATTTCTTTGTTTTCTTGTATTTGTTATAATTTTCTTGATTTAATTTAATTTTTCTTTAAATTTATTCTTTTTTTTTGTGTAAGATCGATGTCCATGCTGTATTAATTTCATCAGGTGTGTTTATTGATTCACGTATTATTGAATAAATTGCTTCTTTTGTACATCTTTTCCAATAATCTTTTTCTTCTTCGATAATAAATGCATCAATTGTACCAAGCAAACATTGAAATTTCTTTTCTTGAAAATGTCTGACCATTTCTGAATTGCTATTCATTATCATTTATTGTTTTTGCATATTGCTTTATATGATTATCTATACCAACTTTTGTTAGACCAACATAAGTTTGTTTGCATGAACAAGGGATTTGGTGAATAACAGATCTTGATGTAGTTTTTAATGATTGATTAAATTATGGTTGTAGTTCGCATGGATAAGTAAAATATAATTTAATTTTAAATTTTTTTAGAGTCTTCTTTTAAATACTTTTATATCGGAGACATATGATAATGATAAACTAGAACTGATTTCTCCGTTATTTTCATCATTAGCATTGTTCTTATTTAATTTAAATTCTTCATATGATTGCTTGATTAATTTTTAATCTTTGTTAATGGATAATTTGACTTTAAAAGTATTTCTTTTAATGTAATAAAATCTTGTTTTTGGTCTTGCGTGTTTCGTATTGTTTCTAAAATTCTTGTGGTCATGTTTTTTAACGATATTTGTTTTGATGATTTTTCTAAGACGTAATTGATAATTCAACAATCTAACTGTAACTATTTCTTTTCGATACCATCTAATTTTAAGTCTTGTTGTTTTGTTTCATTATTTATATTAAGTTTTGTTAATGCCGTATCAAGATAATTTAATTTATTATTTTGGTCGAATTCAAAGATGAATTTAATTGCTCCACGTATTTGATTAAAATCATTTACATAATCATCTAGTTGTTGTTCATTCATTTTTGTAATAATTAAGACATCATCAACATATTTCCATATTTTATTTGGGCTGTTGACTTTATGTAAATGTTGTCTTTTGGTAATCTTCCATATAAATGTTGGTTAATATTAGTGATAATGTATTACCTACAAGTAAACCTATTTTTTGTTTATAAAATTTATCATTAAATTGAAAATAACTCTTTTTGAAAGCTACGTTTAATAAATCTTTAACATCAATTTTGGTACATGGTAAATTGTATAATTTCTTTAGATTTATCAAGCCGTTTTAATGTAATATCGATCGCTTTATTAACTGGTACGTTTGTATATAAATCTTGAATATCAAGACTTGCTAAATCATCGTATTGATTTGATTAGATATCTGAAATATTCTTGATGAAACTTTTGATAATATATTTAAATGTTCGTGTCCTAATTGAATTTTTTGACATATTAAAAACAGTTGATACATCAGATGTTGCTTTTGAACTCATCTTTGTTTTTGTTGTTGTAATTGTTTTCCTTTTAACATTTTAATTTTCTTATCATGATTTTTAATTAGATTATTGTTTATAATTTCTATCATGTGTTTGCCCACCATAGGTCATCTTGATGCTGTCTTGTTGGTTTTGATGTTCTTGAATAGCAATTTAATATTGGTATTTAAGTGTTAATTTCAATATCAATGTGTTTTAATTGTTTTTGTTGATTATATAATGTGTTGTTTCTAATTTTACAAATTGTTTGTCATAATGTTTTTTCATCTTTATATAAATTTGTGGTGCTTTTTAATTTAAATCCATTTAGCACTAAGTTATGTTGTTTGTATTGCGCAAGAAATCTTATATGTTTTTTTTCTTTCATTTTCTTATTGTCCAACTTTTCCAGATGGCGTGCAATGATGTAAATTCTCTCTCCGTAGAGATTTTTAAATTCTTGTTTTGATAAGAACGTTGAGTTGATATTTGACATGACTTAATTTTCTTCTTTCTGTTTAATTTTTTCATTAATTTAATTTAATTTGATTTAATTTAATTTTTAGTAGAAAAACATCTCATGACTAAATAAATGTCGCAAATGCACAATCGTTGATTACATGGTTCTTTTTCTATCATACACAATCACATGAGAATAGGAAAAGAAAGGTGAAAAGGACTATTTGAGTGTATATAGAGCTTCAGCTTTCATATGCATAGAATGACGTAACTACGAAAATATGAGTATAATTTAGCTCTAAATAGATGAAGATATGTACTTTTATCTACGAAACAATGCACTTTTTGTCAATCAAAAATAAGCTTATCTCTCTCGTCACGAATGAAAAGAAGATATTTTTTGCAAATTTCTCTTTTCTAGGTAATCAACGCGTATATAAAGCCGAGGCGCTACTGTATGATCATCCAATTCGATGGCTTGTTAATATTCATCTATCAATTTCTTCTCAAACACCTAAGAGCGACAAACAACAATGAATCAATTAAACTAGATGGTTTGTTTGGTTGTTCTTTTGGTGTTAGTGGCGATAATCTTCATAGTACAAACAGCGCCACTGAAAGATAGAAGTCCTAAACATTTGCTCCGTCACATACGGAATAAACGTACAATTTCTTCGTGTATCACAAGGTTTTAGATCTCAGTACCTATCATATAATCAATTACAAATCGTTCCTTCCCATTGAGCAAAATATTTGAATAGTCGTTTCTTTATTATTTAAGGCAAGTATGTTGTGCCAATATAGTGTTGATGATACTCCATCGACAGCAGCTCTGATAATATATTCTATCATTCATATTTTCTTATATAAGTTTGTTATCATTTGCAGTATCTGAAGAATTAAAAGGAGGATGAAGAAACGTGTTATTTTAATCGCGCAGGGATTGCACCAACAGCTTTGTTTTTTTTTGTAGGAAACATGACACAATCGCAAATCAATACTCTTAAATGGAACGGTACCATCAATCATCATCAAAATCAAAGAATACTATATAGTAGTTCGTTTACTCCTCCATCTTTCGAACCAGCTAGTTTCCTTCTTTTATATTATCAACGTGTTTGATTTTTCTTTTCCTCATATATTCGACGATTTTTTCTCTTGAATTTTGTTTTTCTCGCTTATTCATACTTATTTATCCTAATAAAGTACATATAAAACATATTTCGTTTGGCTTCTTGAAGACAGCAACAAATATTTAGAATAATTAAGAGCAACGTACCATCGTCTTCCTTTGTTCAAAATCAGGCATTCAGCCAATTATTGTTTCATTGAGAGTGAGAGTATTAGTTTTTAGAATATTTTTGCGATGCAACTAGGAGAGCTTTGAATTGCTACAAACAAGTTCAATCTTTTGAATATAAGGCTCTCACCAGAAATCTATCTATACTACATTGATGTTCGCCGCAACTAAAAGATAATCAACCCGTCATGTTTTAAGCATATCTCTAATGCACGGACACAACCTTGTTCTATTATTTGAAACTTGAGCATGGGTTCCTTTCAAACATCATATAAATTGAACAGTTGATAGATGTCAAACAAAATCTTAAATTAAAGTTAAAGCAAGTTTTTCACCAGAAGCAATAAACCATCGTAATAAAGTGGACATGTTTAAATTTTCTTCAATCATCTTCAAAATTTAACATTTTCTGTGAACGTCCATTCTATAGAGTTCAACAAGAAATATTGACTTCATATCATTTTGCAAGAAAAGAAATTAAAAGTTTCGATTGTTCGTTAGTCGCGTTGGTCGCTCCTGCAACCACGCCGTAAAATAGAAAATACTTTATGGAGAATATAATAGGATATTCTAGGAATATTCATACGAATTCGTCGATGAATTTCTACTTTCTTGAAAATACGATATCTAAGAAACGAGAAAAGAGAAAAAAGAAATTCGATTTTCTACTTAGAAAATCGAAAGTGAATTCGTATGGACATTTCTAGAATTACGTATTGAGTGTAGCCATTCGAGCGTTTTTAAAAAAAAATGAAAAATCATTTTTCATTGAATAATTGAGTTTCTTTTATTTATTTTATTCCACATTAATAACATAATCAACAAAAGAAACAGATTAGTTACAACTGAATGAGAAAAATAATTCGCAAATTACTGACAATATCACTGACAGAATAAGTTAATATTAAACAGATTAAGAAAAATTACGCAAAAAAAAATAAGAATAATTTTTCATATTTTTTATCGGTTGTATTTATATCATCGGAGAGTTATCAATTGCTTTCTAAAATAAAGAATAATAAAATTAAGTGATTAGAATTATAGATACTAATTTAAATAGTCAATAGATTCCTCAAATGCTTTAACAAGAGTTTTTTTTGAAGTGTTTGTAATGTCTTATAATCAAGTGCTTCAATATGAGAAACAATTGTTCTCCTAACATAAAAATAATACATATAAATTAATATAATGTATGATCTTCAGTAATATTTTTTATTTGGTAATCAAAATATCTGGATAATTTTGTACAACTAGATTTTAATGCTTGAACTATTTCTTCACCAAATAAACCAGAACGAAGATTGGTTTGATTTTAGGAATTAGCTATTCATAGAAAAAAAATAAAGAAAATAAAATCATATGTGACATTGAGATTATATCAGCTTATTTCAACTAACTGTTCGAACTCTGCAATACTTCAACGAGTTTTTCTAATCGATCGAAAAAAGCTTGTTAGCGCAGCTCCTTCGGAGTTGAAATGTGGAACTCACATATATTCTTAAACCTTAATATTCTTATACATCAGATGTAAACTGAAAAACTTCGTGTGCACTGTAGTTGTTTTCATTGATAACCAATGATAAGAGCAAGACTCTGTTATTTATGTCTACATTTAAAACAGAAATTTTTTTTTTGTTTGAGAGCGCCCTATTTTTATTTTGCATTGTTGCTATTCGCTCATTATCTTCATTTTTTTTATTGTAAGCTAAAGGGACTACTCATATGCCTTTTGGCCAAGGAAGAGGATAGTGAAAGAGATTATGTAAGACAAATTTACATGGTTAACAATAAGCGAAGCTCCTAGAATTCAAGCGGCAGTCTTTGGAAAATTGAGTAACTACAACAATATCTGTTAACCTTGTCTTAGCACAGTGATCCGCTTCAAAACGTTCTCCCTGTTACTTATTTCTTTTATTTTAGTGTTTTGTTATTCTTTTTGTGTAGCTATTATTAACTCTCACTCTCTGTTTGCATATTGTTTTTTTTTTCCTTCCAATTTTATTTTCGTGTCCTTCACTATCGTCACTGTACATGTGTGAGGATGAGTGAATAAATACATTAATCTCACCCTCATCTTCAAGATAGTTCAAACATTTTTTTGAAGTAGAATTTGATTGAATAAGATTGAAATCGATCGATGAAAGGGCGATGAAGAAACATTGTTAGTATGAAATTGACTATGTTAAATTTTGATAGCCAATATATCGGTTTCTGCATGTAATTCGATCACAGTATGGCACATTTAACGATTTACGATGAGAGATATACTAATATTCTTAGGAATATAATGGCCGTTCTTTCAATGAAATTGAATCTCTAGCTTAAGCAATATCGTGTCTCACCCTTCGTATTCCTTGTCCTTGCCAGTAAGTATCTCATTAAAACCCAGATCAAGTCTTGATCGATTAAAAATCGAACAAATATAAAATACACGATGCATATACGATACACCTTTGTATCGTTTCGTTTCCTGTAGCTGCTCTGTGAGATAATGTTTGTAATTGCTCGATAATGTAACTCATTTCATGGATTTAATGGATTGAAATGCATGAAATGCATGAAATGAATTACATCGAAATTATCATTTTACTCGACGAAATTTGATCTGTACGACTCTTTAGTCAAGCAAGTTAAAGATATGTTCCTTGTTGCTGTTTTTTTCAAAAGTAACACAGTCGTGGTCTTCTTTAGATTATATTAAGTTGTGCATGCAAGCGCAAAACTGATTCTATTGTTTCGCATGTCATCGGCAAAAACGATCACATTGCACGAAAACTTCGTTTGTAGAACAGAGAGACAAAAGCTAACGTTGATTAACTAGAGAAACGACTCCATTCAAATGAAATATAAAGGTCATGAGAGAGAAATCGAGCTGTGCAAATCGTTGAAATTGAAGCAAGAGAACGAGAAAAAAAATTGATAAGAAAGGATCGAGTTACAAAGCGTTTACAATAGTCCTTGGCAATCGGGATATACAGTGTGGCCCAAAAGTAACAGGACACAAAGGGTATCCTATAATTACTGAAGATAAATTGTTAATGATATTTTTCATACTTTTCATTGATGTAGAAAGATGAAACTTTCAGTAGTAAAAAGTCTTGATTAGATATGTATGTAATAGAAATTTCAGCTTTCTATATTAATAAAAAGTATGAAAAATATCAGTAACAATTTATCATCAGTTATTGTAGGATACCCTTTATTTCCTGTTATTTTTGGATCATCTTGTAATTAGGCAGTAGTTCACCGGTATTTTCTCTACTCAGACATGTGATTATGGTTTACATGGATGATTTTGGAATTTTTTTTTCTGATTGTTCTTTCTTTTAGTCAAGTGTCCATGATGAAAACGAAAGAAGCAAAAACAAAGAAGTCCGACGAATTAGAAGATGATGATGAATATGATTATATTAAAGTGCCACCAGATGGTGGCTTTGGTTGGGTTGTCTTGATCGCTTGCTTTGTTAGTTGATCGAACAATATAATCAGTCTAGGCTTTTTCTGATCAAGTAACTATCTCTTCTCGATTCTTCTAGCTCATCAATATGATTATCGATGGATTTCTCTATGCTTTCGGTGCGATCTCTGACGATCTTAAACAACACTTTGCCTGTAAAGAATGGGCCGTTTCTCTGGTCATTGCAATTGCTTGCAGTTGTTATTTGCTCAGCGGTAAATCGTTCGACCATAACACTGAAATTCATCGTATGAAAAACGGTGGTTTGTTTTTCTCGTGTACATTTTAGCCCCATTAGCTTCTGCTCTCTGTAATAAATGGGGTTGTCGACCCATCGGTATTATTGGTGGTATCATTGCTGCTCTTTCAGTTGCCGCATCAGTTTATGCACCAAGTATACGTATCATGTGGTTACTTTTCGGTTTTATTGCTGGGATCGGTATGGGTCTCGTGTATTTACCAAGTATTGTCATGGTTGGATATTATTTCGAGAAAAAACGTGCCATTGCTACTGGTAAGACAAAAGAAAATACGAAATATTCCAAGATATACTGTTACTTTGATGTCGTTTGATAAGGTATTGTTACTGCGGGCACGGGTATTGGTTCGATTGCATTTGGACCATTTTCGCGCTTTTTATTCGATAAACTTGGCTGGAAATACGGTCTTCTCATTCTTGCCTGCATACTGTCAGGCTGTGCTTTATGTGCGTTATTCATGCGTCCTCTTAAACCAATTCGAAAACGACGGATTCTGGAACCGATTCAACTTTTGTAAATTCTTCTTTCATCTCCAATATTATGTAATCAGCATATTTATGTTTCAGAGATGCTAATACTGAACCTGCTCCATCGGTATGTCATTTGTCTATATTGTATTCGATAGGAGGTGTATTAAAACATCATTCTTTCTCTATTCATAGACCACATCTGCATTGCTCAATGAGAATAAGGAGATCGGTGCTAGCCATTCTTCGCATGAGGATTTAAACACATTGGAAACGGCAACAGAGAATCGATTACGAGCTAATTCGGCTGTTTCTACCAAATCACGACAAAGTATTAAAGCAGAAGATGCTATTCGTCCGTAAGCTCTTTTCTATGAATTAGGTCATTTTTCTTCTGAAGAATTGACATGAAATTATTTTGATAGGATGTATCAAGAAGATATTCTCTATCCTGGTAATGTACAACAACTTCCTGAATATCAAGCACAACCAGATTTGGAAACGTATGTACAAGAAACCACCAAAGTACCTGAGACAAATAAACCAACTGCAATGAAAGCATTCTGGGATACATTTCTCGCCATGACTAATATTAATGTGTTAAATGATAAAAAGATGAGTATACTTTGTTTAGTAAGTGAATCAAGAAAATACGATGAAAGATATTGAATAATAATTGCACTAGGCCAATATTTGTTCAATGATTGGCTTTTATATTCCATATTTATTCATTATGAAAATGGCCATCAATGAACGAAAGATTCCCGAACATAATGCCGTCTATCTTCTCTCACTCATTGGTAGATCAATTTCGTCTTCTCTGCACTTTATCCACTATTTTTATAGGTTTCAGTAATACTGCTATCCGTTTTGCTTCGGGTTGGTTAACGAGGATTCCCTATCTTACTCCATTACTGGCTAATAATCTCGGCTTAGCTATTGCTGGTGTAGTCACATTACTCGTTCCATTCTGTAGTACATATCGACTTCTGGTCAGCTACTGCATTGTTTGGGGCGGTGCTATCGGTACTGTTTATTGTTCAATAATGATTCGATTCATACCATTCTCTCTTCCTTAGCTTTTCATATTTCTCTTACTCCAGTCATTGTCTGTCAATTGGTTGGTCTGGAAAAGTACAGTAGTGCATTGAGTTTAGTTTTTATGTTTCGAGGTATTGCTTCGTTGATTGCTCCACCAGTACGTTTTTACAATTATTTTCTCTTCTCAAAATGCATTTATCTATTTTATTTAGATTATGGGTGCGATTCAAGATTATACATCAAGTTTTAATGTTCCATTTGTCATTAGTGGTATTAGCTTTATAGTTAGCTCTCTTCTTCATTTCGTACTCATGGCTTTTACCCGTCAATCAACAACAAAATCGAAGAAGAAAGAGATGACCGTCACAACGACCAATGTATAACCGCCTTCTATTATCATCAATCATTTTCACAAACAGTTTATATTCTCTTCCATTCATTATCCATATAGCGTTAATAACCTGATTATTGAAACATTCATAGTTTACTTTCTGTCTAGTGATCAAAGCAGACTTTTTCATATGCCTTCTCTGATGATAATCAGTTCTTGATTGTAAACTCGTTATTCATCAATAATGCCTTGATACGCAGCTGGAAAAGAACTTATGTTGGAATTTTATAATCCAGTGAAGCAGTCAGAAACAATAAGAATCAATCAGTATTGCGACTAGTATGCCAAATGCATAATAGGAAGTAAACGTGACATCATTTTAAATTTGACAAGCTATTTTCTCTTCACTTGATACTTGCAATTGATTAATATAGCCATTGGTTGTATATTGTTCATATCTAGAAGATTTCCATTCAATGGCCGGGATGCGATAGTTGACGTAGAAAAAAGGTCTTAATGGTAGCACACAGGTCGAAGTACAAGTTAATGAGGGTGTGGGTGAGTGACTATGCATGTGGGCGCCATTATTCGACCGCTTCTACACCAACACCCACACTTATACCCTAGTTTACGATTATGAAACATCTACGAGAGAGTTATATAAGACTTGACAAGATCTAATAACGCTGTCGAGGGATGGCACCATGCATTCAACAATCGTGTATCAATTAAATATCCTTCTGTAACTAAACTTGTAAAATGTATATTACGTGAACAATCTTGATTAGAGATCGATAGTGAACAATTTCGTGCAGATGAACATCCCAAGAAAAAAGGAAAAGTTTATGCAAATTTTGATGTATGATTGAAAAGAATCGTGCTGTCTTATGATGTTAACAATATCGAGGAATATTTAACTCGAATTGCTATGAACTTGAAAATAAGCACTTGAATATAATTTAAATAAACTTTATTTCATATTGTTGTAATGTAAATGAATACTCACAATTTGGGACGAAATGTAAGGGAACGAAATAAATTTGGGACAAATTGCAAGGAGACAAATTGTAAGGGGACGAAATGTAAGTGGGACGAATTGTATGGAACGAAAAGTAACGGGACGAAAAGTAGGGGATGAAGTGTAGGGGTACCATTTTCTTAATTAAATCATAGAAAAAATAATCAAGAATAAATATCAGAGGAAAATTATAGTTCTTCTTGAAATTCAACTTGTTTATCATATGGCCATTCGACTGAGTATTCGAACAGAAGTCGACATTCGCCTCTTGATGGTAGTATACATTTCCATTCTAAATTATTGGTATCCTTTAATGTTATGGTGTTGTGTGGATTATTATCTTTTCGTCGTAAATCTGGTTGAATCAAATTGACTTTGATCTTTTCATCGGATGATAATGGAAGTTGATCATAAATATAAACAGCCACTTCATGGGTCTTAGTGTTCGTAATATGGGTTTCGTGACGAACAGTTTTGAGATGAGTTTTGGAAATAATACCTTGAGTATCACTTGTTTTCTTTACTGGTTTATATTCAATTTTGATACCAGAATCGATACCCAATGGTAGATCAAATATATCACCTATACATACATTATCGATTGAGCCATGTGCAACAAAATTGTTGTTCATGAAAATAGATGCAGGGCCCGTTAAAAGATACTTGTCAGATGTATTCAAAGTCGACGCTTTCATATAGGCATGTAATGATAGTTTCGGCACAATTGTATAGCTAAAGGTCGAAACAAGATTGAGTACACCGATGGTCAACTTGTGTGGTTTACCCTATTTTTACAGACAGAAATATTCAAATTGACAAAGATTTATTAGATCAAATTGAGACTTACATCGGCATCGATAGTCGATCGACGAGGAATCGTGAAACTAGTGATGGAAAAACTCATGTCAGCTTTTGATCCTAATACGTTGACAATATTTTGTGACGTATCTTCATCATCGTTGTAAGAATCAGCAGAACTAGTTAATGACGTTCGCTCACGTACATGCGATAACTCTTTTGATGCTCTGCTCATTGATCCACCCATCGACAACATACTCTGTGCAGCTGAGCTCATGAAGCGTTGTGGAACACCATGATATTGACGGTTGTTGACTTTAAGTGTGGCCAATTTGGGAGCAGAGCCACCTAGAGATGGAGTTGCTGTAGACAATGAGAATTGTGTATCAGACCAATTCTCTTGACTTTTATTGATCTACATATAACATATAGAATACTAAAATACATGAAGAGATTTAATGATAATAGATATGAGCTTTTCAGAGATAGCCTCTTTCTCATTATTAGTTCCTAATCTAAAACAACGGATGAAATAACCGATCAATTTTTTTTTGTAACAAAAATAAAAAAAGCTGCCCAACAAAATAAACAAAAAAATCATATTATTTGAAAAATGAGTTTTAAACTGAACAATAAACTGATATTATTTGATATGAAGAAAAAATCTTTAAATTCGACCATTTTTTCTTCTAAGAAACAACGGAGTTTCGTTCGATTTATGTCATCGATTTGCATTTAATTTCGATCGCTGTGTCTTTTTAGTAAGCTTTTTGACAAAATCGCTCACTATAGACTAGTATTTTATAGATTTCATCTAAGAATTAGTTGAAATGTCTGTAAATGATACTGAACTTAGCATTTGATAAAAGAGTGATGTCACTATAGTCTTTCATAAAAAAATTCAAAATGAGAATAAATCATTTTGAATCATCTATTTCCTTGTGGAATTCGTTTGAATAGGAAAACATCTTTTCTATCACTATATCTATGATAAAAACTAGAACTACTCTCTAAAGCAAAAAAAGAAGTCATACTGAACCTTTCTAAGTTTAAGCCAAAAGGTCTCGAATTTGAAAAGATTCTCGCCCAAAACTGTGGAGACATATAACTCTAATCTAATTGAATTCTAGGTAAGATAAATCAAGGAGAAATAAGAGAATTCTCATTCAACTTCATGATATTGTTGTACTCATAAATGACTTCAAAACTGTCAATATTGAAGCTAATGGAGAACAATTAATAAAAATATAAAGCTTGATTCATTTGGACGTTTTAAAGATTTAGGTAATGTAAGGTTTCTGGAAAAATGTATATATATGTATATATATTACTAATTGGAAAAGATTCCTATGTAGTGAAACAATACTTACAATGATACCGTAATAAGTAAGTTGAGTTTTTGGTTGCCTTCCTTCTCCACTATCAACCCGTATATCATAGCTTGCACTCCATGAACAATTGCTGATTAAATATGATACTTCCAAGGCAACATCAGTTTTACTACTAGCTACATGAATAGTAATAGTCACTTCACGCTGTTCTATGCGTCGATTAATCATTGCTTGTGAACCATGTTCATTTATTTTGACTGTGAGCGCATCACATCGACTGTTCAATTCTTTCAATTGTCGTTGTTCTTGAGTTGTTTCTTTATCTATTTTACTGAGCATTTTGTGATAAAAGTTAAGAAATTGTTCCATTGTTTCAAGGTCACTTGTACTCAAAGGTCCTTCTTGATTCATCAGTTTTGATGCTCTTCCATCAAGCCATGTTCGTTGTTTTTTAAGTCGATCAAGTTCTTGAGCATGTTCATCGATATCTGCTTGAACAATATCTAATTGTGTTTGCAATTGATCGAGTGGTGTTGTGTCAGATAATGATGTCGATGGATCTTCATAACGTTTTTGATAGGAAACTTCAAGAATAGTACATGCTTTACCTGTTCCACCGCTAACACGAAATGAAGTTAGATCGATACAAGGAGATAAACCTTGAAGAACAAGATCATAAGTGCCTTCATTATCGAAATGATATCGAAGAAGACGTGTTAATTCTGCACGATCATTGTACACAGTTACAAACTGAACTGGACATTCTTGCTTGATATTAATATGAACGATTGTGGCGGATGGTGGTGTATTCGTTGTCAATATTGTCTCTGCCATTTGTTGCTTTTTATAAAAATTATCTACGTGATTTACTTCAATATTTATTTCTAAAATAACAATAAAGAACACGCTTGAAAACGTGGCAGCTATTTACCTGTTTGTAGTTGTTATCGTCGTGGTGTATAAGCTAATGCTGAAAAACAGAATGAATCAGCACTGAAGGTCACGTATCATATAAAAAAACAGAATAGCAAAATGACATATTGAATGAATCATTAGAAAAAAAAACGCGAGAACGCAAGAACAATTATTTATCTAAATCTTCTAAATCGAGATATATTCGTATTTTTTTAAGTTATTTCAGTTTTATAAACAAATAAGCAAAGTTCTTTTATTATCAAAAAGAATTCACCAGTATTGAATATCATTTGAATAATTTGAAGATTCGAAGATAATATCGTAAAATTTAATAGAGAAAATCGAATGTATATTTCAGCTGCATCACCAATAATATTTACATTTTTAGCGATCCGTCTCGTGTTTAAACACTGTGGCTGTTTTTTTTGGTGAGGGGTCTGTGTCATAGACTTTATTGATGATTATCAAAAAGAAAATATTGACTCAAGTTAATAAAATTTCTTTTATCAATTTGCCAAAATTACTGGTGACACGAGCAACAGAGAGATTGAAGGCTTGAAAGAGGGTAACCCTCTCCTGGTTTGAAAAAACTGATCAACTTTGTTCGATTTTGAGAAAATTTGAGCTATAAATATCGGAGTCCTATTTTTTCCATATTGCAGAAGTTTGTAGAATAAAATCAACATGATACTAAGGGTAGTTTGCCTTGACGTTTATAAAGTGGCCAATGGTTTTTCGCTTTGAAAATATACAGTTTTGTAGCTTTTGAAAAGTTCTATCGAATTGGCAAGATCAGAAGAAATATTCGTTCTAATATTAAAGACAAAAATGTCTGTAAAGATGAAGGTGTATTCGACGTACCAGAGCCAAATTATGACACTTTGTGGATGACCCAAAGTCTCTTGAACGTAACAGTGACTCATTGAATTTAGTATCAAAATGTTGATCTAAACGTGTACTTTCATCTCATATGTGATTTGACTTGATTGG